TATTTATTATAGTTTAATCAATTCACATTATAACCTATTCCCTATTATATTGCTCTAATAACAAATTTTATTAGATAATTAATGTGATATTAATATACATATATTTATTTTAAATCACTTAGTATTTTATAACTCATAACTTATTTCGAAAAAGCTTTTATTTTGTTATTTTGTTAAAAAAAATATGAAAAATTGGATTCTTGCTATCAAAGCGTCTAACAAACAGTAACCGTTAAAAATAGATAATGAAAAAAAGGAAGTCTAATGGTACGAATTAAAGCCACGCTTTTTTACGATTTTTTTGTGCTCCTCTCTTAGTCTCCAGTGCGATTGCTGAAACTAGTCCACTATATGGGCAAAAACACAGACTAAATCCTCAACAAAACTGTGCAATTTAGAAAATAGTCTATTGCCAGAAAATAACAAACGTCTCTTGCTTCAGAAATCCAGCAACACGACACTGAAGAAGAAGAGAGGAGAAAGTTTAGCAATTTTCCAACTAACGAAACGTAACATAATGGTTTGGGGTTCAAACTTTAACAAAGATAGTTTGCGAAGAAAAACAGTTCATGAGTTTACTGTTAAAAATTTTATTCAGAAATTTCAGATGAATTTTGATAAAATTGATTTTATTGTTGAAAAAACCTTGTCTAGCCATTATAACTAAAAAACAATATGAATTATTTATTTACAAAAAAAATGTATTTTTATGGTTTAATAACTTGATTTTTAAGAAATATTAACATTTTTATTTGTATACTAAACATGCCTTTAAGACAATGATTTTTAAAACTATATCAATTAAAAATTATTGTATCTTTATATTACTTGTGAATAATTTAAAAAAGTGGTGAAGGAACATTACTAAGAATTCGAAATGTCCACACTTGTATGCAGTAAGATGTGAACGTAACTTCGCAGGTGGTTACTCTAAATCTGGCACATTTCTTATGTTCTATTGACGAATGACTTCAGGTCAAAGTACTCAGCCTACGAAGACACAAAACGATTCACTTTTTAATGAGTTTATATTTTGTAAATGTAAAATTTTCATTACAATAAATTCATTTTTACTTCGTTATATATAATTTTTATTAGCTCTAATGTCAAAGAAATTCGAAAATTTCGATTTCCTCAAGAAATTCTTACTTACATATTCAAAGTTGAATAGAATTATATTCAGTGTCAAAGTATTATGCATTTGTTCACTATTAAGAATCTAGTCAGTTTAAAAATAGAATCCGTTAAAATTAAGCAATAATTATTTTAAATTTATTTGTGTTTGATTTAGCAATAAATGTAAACATTTGCTCTTTATATTGATTTTATGACGTGAAAACAAAATTTGATTGGTCGTAATAGATACTTCTCAAAACTGAAGGAATATGTAAAAAAAGAGTATGTTTAAAAGGTAACAGAAACTATGAAATTACATTAATAGGTCCAGTGATTTTCATAACAAAACAGGTGCTGGAATTACAAGATATTTGTTCGTTGCAGTTTGTTAGATATCTACGTGCCTTGATGATTTAAATAATTTTAGTTGAAAGCAATAAATAAACAAAAAGAATAAAAAAACTAATTGTCCAGTCATGTTTTATTTTGCCATAGTCATTGGCTAACTACTTATTTTATTCTTTCATATTTATTATTTATCTTATTCTAAATTAAAAATTTATTTCTTCAGTTAATTATAATAATTAAATAGCTGCAAAATAATTTTTGCTGAATATTTTCATTCAATGCAGTTGTAATAATAAATATTACATGGTTTCTAAAAATTCAAGAACAATAAAAAAATCCCCAGGACACGACCAAAAATATATTATTAGTAAAATTATGTACTATACGATAATGGTGTACATCAACTTTGATTATATTAATAAATTTAACATTTATCAACGTTGAATATATTATTCTATAAACCTGCACTGAAATCCGTTATCTATTTTTAAAAATATAATGTCTTGGGTGAACACTATATGCTTCAATATTCAATATATTATATATATACCAATGTTGGGTATTTCAATTAGCCATTTGATATTATAATTGCATTTATATTGTTTTCACCCTAAACCAACATTTTGGTATTACAAATCAGAACATTCACCCTCAAGGATGACGTCCGTCTTCCTTTCGTTGACACCTTGTCTTTCCAGCATGGAAGGTTTTCAATTCCGTATTAAGGCTTATACCGAAAAGCGTAGATGCTTTAGATTCCGAACTAAACGAGGGATCATTTGACAACAGCCATTAAACTAAAGCAATAAAATTTTCCAGTACATCGAACTACTTTTTCGAACTACTGAAAACTAGCAGATTTATTCTCAATTGCCATTTTTTTTTTAAATATTTAATACTGGACAGAAAAAAGCGTTAAGTGTAAATAAGATTCTATCTTTTGTTTAAAAAGATATTCGAAATTGGTTTATCCAAATTTCATATTTTAATCAATTTTACTTGTCTTTAGAGTGAAAATCACCAAAGCTACTATTCAACTAAAATTTTGAAATCTTAATGATGATCAGTGAGTACCACTGCTTATATGAGTAAAATTCGTTGTTAATGTATAATATATGTACATCAGAAAAACAAATTAAAGAAGATTTCATTTGGCCAGTAAATCATGCATTAGACTAAGTTAATTTTTTTAAGATACCCTTACATTTCTAACTTACTGAAGTCATAAGTTTACAAGTAAATAACTAGTACCGTTTGCATTTGGGTGGGCGGGTTATAGTAACAAGATTTATTCCATTCATGATTAGGGGTATATATTTTTACCTACATTGTACAATAGGACACGTTTTTTTTTTCTTTTTATACATCGAAGCATTCACAAAGATCCTTGTTTCTCAAAGCCCAATTTTTCATCTCAGCGATTATGCCTTTTTCATAAGGAAGTCTAGTAATTAATAGTGTTTCGTGTAACTAATTTATTATATACAAATGAGCTCTCCTTCACAACTTTGTTATTGATAACAAAAGCAAGTGTAATATACCATAAAAACTGTAATTTTTACCATAATTAGTTATAACATAGTTAATTTAGTCAACATAAATTTAAATTTCTTATCTAAGAAAATATATAAATGTTTTAGGGGAACATAATAGAAGACCGTAAAACGAAGTATAATACACAGTAATACACATAACAATAGTATATATGAATTACTGTGTATTATATATAATACACAGTAATACATATATACTATTGCTATGTGTATTATGAATATTTTATGTGTTTTACTATATTATATAGATATTATAATACAGATAACAATATTCATAACTAAGCATTTTGAGGTTTTTACAAAATCCTACGTGACAGGTAACAGCTAACAAAATATAACAGGCAAAATTAATTTATATGATCCTGGTGATCATTTCATACATTTTGAATTCTTGTTTATTTAAATTACATCTAAATAATTTAATTCTGATTAAGCACATATGCTATTAAATGTTAACTATAACAAGCTTACAAAAAAAGATTATATCACTAAGAAGTCTAACATAATATAATTATCTTGTTTAAAATTCAAGAAATGTTTTTTTTGTTTGCCATTTTGTAAAAAAAAAACAGCTATGGCAAAATTATAATAAATGAAATAACCGAAAAATTTGTTTTTATACGTATTCAAACAGTGCATTCAAATTTTTTCCTTAGATTATAAGCATATTAAAAATCCCTTTCCAGTATATAAATTATTTCATTATAATAATTTAGCCTTTTAAAATATTCATTCAGTACTCTAACAATATACGTTGTCACGGCATATGTTAAAATTTTGTTGATGTGGTCATGTAATTTGTTAGACATCTAAAAGGATTTCATATAATTTTTTTCACCTAAAAGAATAAATTTTGAATTAAAATTTATATATATATTTATATATATATATATATATATATATATATATATATATATATATATATATATATATATATATATATATATATACATATATATATATAAATATATATATATATATATATATAAATATATATATATATATATATATATGTGTGTGTGTGTGTGTGTGTGCTATAATTTTAATTTCTGAGAAAATACTTTTTTCCATTAGAAATAAATTGTAATATTTCATTTATTCATGGATAAAAGATTAAATAAAAAATTAGCAAACATATACAGCTATATTAAATGATCACAAAAATATTTACGTGGCATCTGAGAAAACTTTAAAATTGTTTTTTTTTTTTCCTGCAGGCAACGAAACCGGAAGTTTAGTCATTTTTGGTTGGTGTTTTCAACATAAACTGGTTTAATTAATATTTTTAAAGGGATTAGCGAAAACTTTAAAAAATGGTTGGGATATAATAATTTTATTATTAGCATCAGTAAATAAATTAATTATGTTCATTTTTATTTAACGCAATTAACCTTAACGTTAATTTTTAACTTTTTATTAAAAATTTTTGTATTGCTGTGATTCCAGATTTCACTGCTCATAAGAACATAATATGATCTCAACAAAGATGCATGTTTTACAATTAAATTTTAGCCAAATCGCAAAATAGGGTCCATTGGGATTTGGCAAACTTTTCGTGGCACCAACAAAGCGATAACTCGCCAAATGTGGTCATCTGAGTTTCTAATAATGTTTGCAATTCACTTCATTTACATTCGAAACCCGTTACTTGGGCGAACAAAACAGTTGAATAAAATGTTTGAGCCCAAATTCCAACGGCCCCTGCTCTGCGATTTTATCAAATTTATTTCCCATGATAACGGGATTTAATTATAAAAGTTATGATTACTTTTGTCCAATACTGCTTGATGAAATATAATTTTCAAGTATTTATTTAAAAAGAGTATTTTTCTATCACAATGTATGCCCTTTTCATATGAGCAATACTGCGGTTTTAATATTGCGCAGCCTTCAAATAAAGATAGTATGTTATGTATTAGATATGTCCAATGAGCTTTCATTAAATGGAATTTTTTCAATATAAACGATGCACATTTCCTATGCCAACGGCCGTACCATTCTGAATATACCGGTTCTCGTTAGATCACCGAAGTCAAGCATCATTCAGTACTTGGGTGGTACTTGGGTCTTGGTACTTGGGTCTTGGTACTTGGGTCTTGGTACTTGGGTGGGTGACCACCTGGGAACACTGCGTGCCGTTGGCAAATTTGGGACCTGAATGGCCGAGTGTCTAGCGCTCTGGCGCTCGGTGTCACAGGTTTCGGGTTCGAATCCCGGCGGTGCCATGGATGTTTGTAGTGGTTCGGAATCCACTTTAAGCCGTAGGTCCCGGTCTCCTATGACTGTAAGAGCGTCACAGAGCAAAAGTCAGACTTCTACCTACGGGTGCTCCATCACAACAGAAGCTGCTTCCTTCCCCTTCAATCATGAGTACGTATGGGCTCGTGGGCTTGGCCAGCTAAGTGGGATAAGAAACAACAACAACAACATTTCCTATTAGCTTCATTCTTTACATTAAATACATCAGAATGAGCTATCTGTGTGCACAAGTATAACACGTAAACACACAAAGTTCCCCCATCACATTGTAAATTTTAAAACTAAACTGGAAAAGAACTGCGGGTCCATAAACTTTTGGCGATAAAAGACATTTAACGCCAACTCCATCCTCCTTTACCGGAACATGTTTTATTTGTTTGCTTTCCTTCATAATTGCTGGGGCCCTTCCTACTTTACCTAAGCTCATTTCGAAAATGCTTACAGTAATCGGCTTAGCTAGCTGGTGATGAAACAAACGCGTGTATGTATTCATGCTAAAAAAAAGAACTCGGAAATGTTTCCAGCAATAGGATAACATGCATTGGTGGAATTACCAACGTTAGTCTTCCAGCGAGTCAAATAATTTAATAGATAGGTATGTAGTAATACCATGATTATGTAGTTCCATGAAAAGAAAATAAGTGTTATCCAATAATTTTCGAAGTAAAACAGTCAATATTTCTGACGCTATAACAATGGAGTTTTGCTGGCTGTTTTCCTTTTTGCTGCCTGATCTTAATTGTTTAACATGAACTGCTAAAACAAAAAGAAAATCAATTGTATCAGTCTGCTTAATACACTGATTTCGATGTTTTATTAGTAAACTAAGTATTTTTCTGTCAATGCATTATTTATAGAACAATACAGATTATGGATACAATAATATCACCAAGTTATTCGATATTTGAATACAGAGTCTAATTAGTATGAGGCCGAGTAGAATTTTGCATGTAAGTACATATCTCATTTAAGTGAGACACAATCTTACCAAAGTATTAATTTAGAATTAAAATACGTAGTAAAATTGCACTTCTTTATTAAGTCAACCCTAAATAACTTCATCTCTATATAGCCTAAACAGTCTACTTTCTAAAATAGCCCATTAATAATGGAAAATATTTTCGTTACAAAGTTATAAAAATCTGCCATTTTCTCAAATTAACCATTTTTACCTTTTTAAAAAAAATACAATGAAAAAAAAAACCAGTTGGGCACAAAGGTAAAAAATAGAATATGAATTACGTTGAAGACTAAAAATATAGTTATTCTAAAAATATTTATGCGAAAATTTAAATTATATGGATGAATTAATTGAGAATTGAGAATGAATTCATTTAATTGCAAATGATGTGTCAATGGTTAAGTATACTTTAACTATGAAACGACTTTCAGAAATATAAAGCAATTATATAGTAATGAAGAATAACAGGAAATATTAATTATAATATGAGGTTAAAAACAAATCTGAAAGAATAGAATATATCTTTGAAATGGGCGTAAGCTAAAATTAACTCCTTATAAACTATACAAACTTGTTTATTATAAAATAATTATTTATGAATTACATTTAAATGATAATTTTTACAAGGTTTTTATTGTCCCTTTCTCAGAGTATATTCAGATTTTTCAATTTGGGAACTTCCAATATGTATTTATTGTTGTGCATAAAATATTTCATATTCATCATAATAAATAACCCCGACTACAAACTAATATAACATAAAAAACAATTCTTTCCATTATTAAAATTAGTGACGATGTATTGCAATTTGTTTGTTGATAAAAATATTGATAAAATCCCAAAAATATCTACTACTATTTTTATAAAAATAATTTTATAAATATTAATTAATATATAATAATATTTTATTAATAAATAATCAAATTAAGATTATAAATTAATTATATTTTATTAATTAATATTTATTAATATTTTTATAAATATTAATTTGCTCATAATTTAGTTAACTGCTGAATTAGTTGAACAATCTTTAAATGCTGTTAGTTAACGTATGAGTTCTTTTGCAGAAAACAACTCTTTTATTCAAAAAGGTTAAGCATTACATTGTGAAAAAATGCTGTATTCCAAACAAACATCAATAAACACTTCATGATCAAGATAAAAAAAAGTACAATACATGTTTTTAGAAGGAAATACAAACAAAAAAAGTCCCTTGACAGAAAGCTTAAAAAATACTTGTCAGGTGCATTTTTAATTCGATGTTCAAGTTATTGTGAAAACACGTGAATATTTATTGTTATAGCTCAAATAAGCATTTATTTTTATCGTTAAACCTATGGCTTTGTTCATAGATTTAAGTCTTGTTTCTAGAACCGTTTTATATCCGCTTCAAGAAGTCCATCAGTGAATCCGGGGACCGGAAAAAAACGAGAAAAAAAAAAAACCGGCAAACGGGAAAAAATTACATCTCTCACGCAATCCGCAAGTGTTTTATTTATATATATTTTTATTTATTATTTTTGTTCTTGCATTTTTTTAACGTCCCTATTTTTACTGCACATATTCACCTCTTTAGCCAAAACAAGTTTTCTTGACAATAGATGAAAATAAAAGAAGAAAGTGGCAAAAAAAATCAGGATCTTTCTTTAGGGGGTTAATGAAAAAAATTTTCCTTTTTTTTTTATTAGCACTGTATTCAACCTCTGTTTCTTCTTATGGTGCCATTATGCTATAAGTGCATTCCAGTTTTCTTACCTTTTCTTATAAGTTGGTAAAAAAAAATGCAATGAATAATAGCCTGGAGCCAAAATCCCAATTAGTTGAACCCCAAAGACGTGAAATTGGAGAAAGTGAGTATATTTGAACAAATACATCATTAAGCCTTCGTAAGACTTCATGCAAATTTTGTTGTCCCTGAATATACGACAATCTGAAGTAATACCAAAAAGGAAAAAAAAATTTTTTTGGACAATGTTTTTAAGATTTTTTCTTTTTCAAAGCTTGCAATGACTTAAATTGATAATGTATAACAGTTTAGGCTACGTGTTTAATTTAAGTGATGATACTAACGACGTAATAAATCAATTTGAGAAATATGTTGTAGTAAACCTAAAGTCTACTGTAAGAAATTACATATAATTTGGTAAAAAAAAAAGCGATGAATAACAGCCTAGAGGCAAAATAACAATTAGTTGAATCCCTATGACGTGGAGTTGGAGAATGTGCTTAGATTTGAACAAATGCATCATTAAGTCTTCGTAAGATTTAATGCAAATTTTGCTGTCCCAGAATATGGAGACTATATGAGATTCTGAAGTAATACAGGAAGGTAAAAAGTAGTTTGGACAATGTTTTTACGAATTTTTTTTTTTCTTTTCAAAGCTTGCAGTGCCTTACGTTGATAATGTATAAAAATGTAGGCTACATGTTTTTTTTTGTTTTTTTTAACATTATAAACATTAATGGCATTATAAACCAGTTTGAGAGACACATTGTAGTAAATCTAAAGACTACTGAAAAAAAAAATTCTGCTTTTTGCACTTAAAGGTATGAGAGGCTCTTTATTAATATCATCTGATGGTTTACCTTCTATACAATGCAGTCAAATGCATTTCTTGGTAAATGGTTTACTTGACTTGCTTCTTTTTTTGCTTGCCAAGTACTTGCGTTGTACAAGTTCAAATCAAATATCTCAAACGAGATATTTAAAATGAGTATAAGGTTCTTACGTTGAAAATTTTGGTTCTGAATATATTTCATGTACTACGAATTCTTTATATAATTTTTCATTCTATTAGGATTTTATTTTAAAAAATGCAATAGAGACAAAATCCCAATTAGTTGAAACCCCAAAGACTTAAAATTGGGGAAAGTTCGTATATTTGAACAAATACATCATTAAGCCTTCATAAGATTTCGTGTAAATTTTGTTGTCCCTGAATATGTGAGATTCTGAAGTAATATCAAAAAGGAAATGATAGTTCGGACAATGTCTTTAAGATTTTTTTTTCTCTTTTCAAAGCTTGCAGTGACTTACATTGCTAATGTATAAAAATTTAGGCTGCTTGTTTAATTTAAGTGATGATACTAATGATGTAATAAACCAGTTTGAGAGACATATTGTAGTAAATCTAAAGTCTACTGTAAAAAATTACATATAAGTTGGTAAAAAAATACAATGAATAATAGCCTGGAGGCAAAATCCCAATTAGTTGAACCCCAAAGGCATGAAATTGGAGAAAGTACTGATATTTGAACAAATACATCACTAAGCCGTCTTAAGATTTCATGCAAAGTTTATTGTCCAGGAATATATGAGATTCTGAAGTAATACATGAAATAAAAAAAGTAGTTTGAACAAAGTTTTTAAAACATTTTTTCTCTTTTCAAAGCTTGCAGAGACTTACATTGATAATGTGCAAAAATTAAGGCTACATGTTTATTTTAAATGGTGATACTAATGACGTAATAAACCAGTATGCGAGACGTACTACTGTGTCCAAAAAGTAAGACCGAATATTTTTTTTTTCCAAAATTATTTATTTATTCTTCCACATTTATTTCATCGCGTTCTAAGTAATCCACTCTGGACACAATGCACTTATGTTCTTTTTTTTTTTTTTTTTTTTTTCAATCCTCAATGCATGCTAAAAGTCATTGGCCGGAATGGCCTTCAAAGCGTGCACCGATTCACGTTGAATCTTTTCAATCGACTCAAAACGGTCACCCCAAAATGGTCTTTTGAGTTTAGGGAATAGCCAGAAATCGCACGATGCTAAATCAGGTGAATACGTTTGGTTTGGAACGATATGGGTTTCATTTTTGGCTCAAAAGTCAAGAAGAATTAATGCAGTATGAACTGGCACATTCAGTTGTTTTCTGTACCAACCAAGATTTGACGCGTTTGTGGTCTAAAATG